AATCAACTCAATTCTTTATTGATAAATAAGAAGTTTGGCTATAAATGAAAGTGATAGATTTTTTAAAAACCCAACATATTACAACTTAAATATCCAAATGAAAGATGTCCTCTTTAAAACAGGTCACGTTATACACTTATTTCAACTGTGTTGTCTCTGATGAAACTCCTCTTGGAAATGTCCCAAAAACATAGACATGTTCTTGTGAATATTCTAGTTGGTAGCAAATCCTTGCCTTTTGGCAATGGTCTTAAGTTTCAGTAACTACCAAGAGGCACTTGGAGACACATCTGTGAATAAAGTGGGCAGTCAAACGGGAGAGTGTTATTTTGTGTCAAAAATGAAATGTGACTTTAAAGTAATTTAATTGAATTTCTGTTGTGGCTTGTAAACAGGTCTTAATAGAAAGTACAGAGAAGATTTCTCCAAAATTATTTGAACAATTTTGGTATTGTTAAAATGAGTGTGTAGCCTCCCCAAGTGACAACTTTGAAAGCAAAGCCTATTTAAATGTATAGCTCCAGGTTAAAAGTAAATAAGTCTCAAGATTTTATAGTCCAATCTCATACAGACAATTCTATTAGGACACCTAATTAGAGAAGCTGATATGAAATCACACTGCATTTTTGTCACAGGTTTAGAAGGTACACACAGATTTTTGACATAATTGAATACATTCAAATCTAGGTTAGCCACTTTGGGATTATCCAGTTTGTGAACAATCTACCTCACGCTTTGTGACTACCTCCTGTTGCCTTCAGTTAGTGTGAACAGAAGAAATATGACCTAATGTAAATGTTAGGCTAAGCAAAGCAAACTTAGGAAGGCAAACCTACTAAAAGTAGCCTAGCATAAATCAAATAGTTTGACAATCAACCAAGTATAATCTAAATAACTCATGATTTTGTCGGACTCTTAAAGTTTGCACAGTATTTTAGAATCAAATATAAAATACATCTCTGGGTCATCTCTATTAATACCTCCCTCCATGAACATGTCTACTTGGGAAGTGACTAGTTTGTCTTCAGGGATAGGGCCCGATAGGGTAAAAGGAACACCTGAGAGGGTGTTCAAATCCTTCAGATCTGAGTCTTGCCAGACTTATTTGGTTACTGTTCTCATCAGTGATTACTGTCCCTATAATATGATGTTTGTCCTTGTTTTACTATTTGTACAATGGAATTGTTTCACTACCCTACAAAAGGAAATACTTGAAAAGAGGACCATCTTTTTCTGGATTTATTTCTAATTCTTTGTGTTGGTATGCAATCTATACTATTTCTCAACATTTCCAACAAATGGAAGCTAATATAGTTGTCATCTGATATGATCATCTTCCTGAGTTTAAATCTGACCTCACACATACTGGCTGTGTGACCCTGGGCAAGTCACTTAACCCTGTTTGCCTCAGTTTCCTCATCTGTAAAATGAGCTGGAGAAGCAAATGGCAAACTACTCCAGTATCTTTGCCAAGAAAACCCCAAATGAGGTCATGAAGAGTCAGACATGACTAAAATGACTCAACAACAACAATGGCTGTCAAAGTTTCATCCTCTGACCATCAGGTCTCAAGGGTGAAAAACTTAAAAGGGTACCATCATTCCCTGGCAATTTTTACTATCCAGCAGAGTCATGTTAGACCCCTGAGAGTGGGCATAAGCAGACTGGTACAAATTCTCATGAGTGGTCACTTTTCCAGGATTGGACTTGGACCCTGCCCCACTCAACTCCATCCTCCTGCCGACAGATACATGTAACATACATCCCCACTAGGGATAAAGCAGAGGGCAAAGTGTGGGCTCTCTGTAGGGTCTGATGTTGTTTTTAGTGTGCAGGCATGCTAAAGATACTATTTTGGTTCGTGAGATCTTCAGTACAATGAATGCTTTCCTCACCCAAGTGCTTCTAAACAGATAGGTCCATTATTTAGCTGTTTCTGTTCTTAGTGTATGAGTTATTCTTTGTGGTTTCCTGTGAAAGGTTATTTACAGTTAGGTGTTAAGTGCTTATTTTAGGCCACCTCAGTTAAAAGTAACTTACTCAAAGAAGTATTCTATTCAGCAGCAATTCAATTCAGCAACCATGTATTAAATGTCTACTATGCTCCAGGAACTGTGTTAGGTCATGGATACCAAGATAAAATATCATCTAGTCTGTCCCTGCGTTTGAGGAGCTCTTTTGTACTTGTAGGGATATAATAGGTATAGATAAGAGTGAGGCAAAAGAAGGAGCAATGGGGGCAAAGAAGAGATGCAGACAACGTGGTCAAGGAATATTTGAGGAGAGTGAACCCGTTCAACATGAGAGATCAGGGAAGCCATCCCGAAGAACTGGCATCTGCACTGAATCTTGTAGGAAGATAAGAGTTTTAAAAGGTAGAGGTCAGAGGGAGTACTTTCCAGGCATGAGGGAGAGCCTTTGAGAATGCAGAGTTGCAGAAAATGGAAGGCTGAGTAAACAACAGCCATAAGAGTGTTTTCATTGGAACGTAGAGTGCATGAAGGAGAATAATATAAAGTGGGTCTGGAAAAATAGGCTGGAACCAGATTGTGGAAGGGCTTGAAGCTAAGGAGATTGTATTTTATCCTTTTGAGGATAGGCATTTATGTACCAGAGGTTTTATTATTTATTCATTTATCTGTCTATCTATCTATTGTTGTCTCTCTGTTTGTTTATAGCAGAGAAGAAACGTGATCATATCTATGCTTTAGGAAGATGGTTTTGATAGAAGAAATAGATTGGAGACAGGGAGAACACCTAGTCTCAGCCATTGGGGAACTTACGGCCTGGAAGAGGGAATAAGGCCCAAGTATAGATAACTATAATACACAATAGTGCATGATAAGTATATGGGAGAGTTTTAAAATAAAATGCTATAATTAATTAAATAAAGAAACACTCTGTAGCACATAGGAAAGACTAACACATGGAAGTCATGGACACGAATCACATATGATAAAAAGTTTCAGTCTGCATGAGTAGATGAAGTACCGGCATTGATAAGTAGATAGATGTGTCAGAGCATCAACATGTGACAAAAGCAGTGAAGGTCAGTAAGGCATCAATTTTTTTGGGTGGGGGTATTGTAAATGATAACTGACGTCAAGAATTTAAAGGGCTGTCATGAGGAAGGAGGTAATAGACTTATTTTGGCCAGGTCTGGGTTGGACTAAGAGGCCTCTCAGGTGCTTTGTAACTCTGACATTCTGTGCTTGCTTTTGTAAAATGCTACTACTGAGTCACTGCATGCAAATTTGTTTTCAAGAGACTTTGCAGGACAGATGAATATTGATTGCAAGAGGAATAGGGATAAACAATAAGCCCCAGAGGTGACTTGGGTCGATAGCTTTAACCTTCTCCCTGTTCTAAGTTATGCTGGGACTTGGATTTAAATTTAAATTCTGTCTTCTTCCTTTTTAAAGCTTTTGATAAAGATTCAAGGAGCAAATGGTGTAGGAAGTCCACAAAGTGGTTAGCCAGAGTTCTCTATGGCTGAATTTGCGCGGGGAATTGTGAGGGAACTGAGGCAGGAGATGATTAAGTGAGATACTGAAGGGTGTTCAGCACACTTGTGTATTGTGATTTCACTTTTACATGCATCTGCCTTCCTAGCTGGATTATAATCTCCTTCAAGAAAGGATCTTGTATTGTGATCATGATGATGTGATAAGGAGAAAGATTACCTTATATTCATATGTGGTATGATAAAAAGAGCGACATATTTGGAGTCGTAAGATTGGTGAGTCCTGGATTTGAGTCATTCGCTATCTGTGTGACCTTGATGCAGACCCAATGCTCTATCTACTGAGCCACTAGCTGCTCTTGAAAACTGTAAAGCAGCATATAATTGTATTATCATAATGCATATGTATTATGAAGTCTATTCAATTTGTAATGCACTTTTACATATCGTATTTAATATAATTCTATAATATTTAATATATTCCACAGGGTCTGACTCAAACACAGGTATATATAGTAGCCACTGAATAAGTGGTTCCTCCAGGAAAGGATGAATTTTGTCATTTCTTGACCACACTGATGTTGACTACTTGTGTCATGTGGACAATTTAGAGCAGCCAGGTGGCACAGAAGATGGAGTGCTGGGCCTGCAGTTAGGAAGAATGGAGTTCAAAGCCAGCCTCTGATACTTATTAGCTCTGAAGCTCTGAACAAATCACTTAACCTCTGTCTGCCTCAGTTTCTTCAATGGTGAAATGGGGATAATAACATCCCAGCGTTTTTGTGAGGGTCAAGTGAAATAATATTTGTAAAGCACTTTGCACAGTACCTGGCATGTAGTAGATGCTATCTAAATGCTAGCTATTATTATTAATTATTACTCTGGAGTTGTATATGCAGCTCAGTTTTATCCCCTGCCATCATGCCCTGCCTCCTCTCTCCATCAATAGACCTATGCTCAGAAAATGAAAATTAATTTCAACATTAGCTTAATTAAGCTATTCAGGTAAATGCACAAATAATAGAAAACATAACATTCATTATAAAATCAAATGTAAATAATTTTTGGTAGGATAATTGTTGCTGTTTCTACCTAGCAAGAAAGATTATTGAGTATTGACTTTACATTATTATTATTATTATTATTATTATTATTATTATTATTATTATTATTATTATTATTATTATTGTTTTGAACCTATGATTTGGTCAATGTAGGGAACTCACATTTGGAAAGCTTCTTCAGCCATGCAGATCAGCAATTTTTATATAACTTGCATTTTTTCTATAAGTTATAGTTTTAGAGTCATCTGGTACCTCTGAGAGGTTAAGGGGATTTGCCCATGGTCATACAGCTAGTGTATGATAGAGGGAGAAATTGAGTCTATATCCTCCTGACTTGGCTCCAAGACCCCTACTCAAACTCCTGGGCCATAGTGTTCCTTATTGAATATTTTAATCATATTTCTGTGTTTGGTAGTGTTGAACTGTGACTAATTAAGAAGACCATTTTTCCCATTTTATTTCCATTCTTTTAGCCTCCAAGAGAAGGAACAATCACTTAGCTTGACCATTAAAGAAACTACTTCAAAGGTAAGTAAGTTCCTCAAAATATTATTTTTACTAACCACATATAAAATATGAAGAAGTTGCTTTCTTAAAATATACCTGACATTTGAAAGGATATGTGTGTGTATATACACACATTTATGAGCACACATATGCACATATATATTGTGTGTCTCCCTTTTTATCTATTTCTTGTCTAGACCATAGAGTGTCAGAGCAATATGTGTAGCAAATGAAAATTCTGAGAGACTGAGTTTCTAGGTAATTAATAATCAATTTATTAATTAGGCTAGCCAATAATCACTAAGTTGATGGTCAGTGGTTTTCTCTCAGTAATCAAAGACACCAAAGGAGACTCTGAAACACCTTAAATCAAGTGTGTACTTTCTGACAGGGAACTCCCCTGACAAGTGAAACTCAACCCTGATTGGTGGACATTTAATGAAAAGATGGCTAGAAGTCTTTAGCTTCTCCTGCTAAGAACATAGCTTGATCATAATTCTCAGGAGGCTCAAGGCATCTGGGCAGGGGAAGCCACTTCCATCTGGATCTCTCCAGCTGGTTTTCTCCTTCATGAACTGGGTCTTTCTAAACTCTAATGGAGGGGACCAAGGACAAGGAGACATATCTTGGTTAAGAGATGCAGCTGAGGCTGGCTTTTATTTACAGAGCAAACAAAAAATAAGGTTGCTTGCCCAGGTAGATGCCTTGGGGTTGGGAGAAGATTACCTTACTCAGTTACATCCTTCAAAAACTGACTGATCTTTACAGGAGTGTAACCTTAACAAAAATAGGAGGAAAAGAATGAGCTGCAAATTAATACTTAGTTATTAATATAATAGTATAATATTAATTTCTCTCATTTAGATGAGTTTAGCCTAATAAGATCATTTTGTAATACAGGAAGATAACCTAAAGGAGTCAGATGCCAGGAAAGCTCTCTGTGGTTGTGTTTCTGGCTTGTGGTCACTGTAGAAATGGATTTATTGGCCTTCCCTTTAGAAATGTCTGCCAATTTTATGAAATGGGAAAAAGTACCTAGTGTTCACAATTAAATTCCTTTGCTTTAAAAGACTTTTGGTACAGGAACAATTATGAAAAATTAATTACTTTTCCTACAAAGAAAGCAGGGTTCAGACATCCTTACAAACACAGAAAAATGGTAGAGTACATTTTCCAGTCCTTCCGTTAGTCTGAGAACTTCTCTGTCTACCTTTTATAAGTAGACTCTAGGTCTGTGGATTGATCTTGAAAGAATTCAGTATTTCCAATAAGTGTGAGTTAAATCATCTAATTTCTTAAAGTGATGGGAAAATGTTTCATTTTCCAAGATACGCACAGTTTCTATCAGATTGTAAGGTCCTTGAGGGCAGGGACTGTCTTTTGTTTCTTTTTGTATCCACTGCACTTAGTGCAGTGTTTGACAACAGCAGGGACTTAATAAATATTTATTGAATTGAATTTTCTGAGTAGATCTGAAACCCTGGAAAAGCATTCTTAGCATAAGATCCCTAAATAAGCTGTGGATAAACTGAGAAGTGATACCAGATGATTGTAGATGATCATCAAGTTAAGTTACGATCAGAGCCCTTAGCACCAGTCACTTTTCTGAGGTCTTAGATATGAGTTGACAGTGGGCTGGAAGAGGCAGGAAAAGAAAAGGCTGATTGTCAGAAAGCGAAATAGCTTATTCCTGAGAATGGAAGACTCTATCCCTCAAACTGGAAGGGACCTCAGAGACAATCTAGTTTATCATTATTAAGTGAGATAATATTTGTAAAGCACTTAGCATAGTACCTGACACATTGTAGGCACTTAATAAATGCTTATTCCCTCCTCTTTTCCCCTTTATTTTATAGGTGGGAAAATGCAGACCAGGGAACTCATGTGACTTATCCAAGGTCAAACAGGCAGTAAATGTCAGAGGCAGGATTTGAACTCAGGCCCTCTGACTCTACAGTTAGTGCTCTTTCCATTGTACTATGCTGCCTACAGATGGGAGAATTTACCTGCATTTGGAGTTGAACATCTTAATACTCTGCATTTGGCTTAACACACACAAACACACACACACACACACACACACACACACACACACACACACACACACACACAAAATGTCACCTGCCCCTAGCTTAACTAAAGCTTCCCATAAATTTACAGGAAAGTTATAACCACTTTTTCTCAATCTCTTTCAGACTCTGAGAAATGTAAATGTAGAAAAGTGAATGAACAAATATTCCTTATGGTCTACTTTTAGTTGAAAAATGTCAGTGGGATGCTAGAACCAGTTTGGGTACTTGCACCAACTTGGTTTTGGGTCCTGGTTTTTTGCCCCTTTGGAATGATGGTTGAATATGACTCATTATTTTCATTTGTGGGTCATGGGACACTCAGGAGGCAGAAAACAACTCAGCCCTTCTTTTTCTAAGCCAGAAAAAGCCTGGCAACTCAGAGGCCTGAAGTTTTATATATGGCATATATGTCTTCCGTCCTTTGGAATTTTAAGTAAGCTTATAAAAATGGCCAGAGAAAACCTGATGACTCAGCCATACATTTCCTTGTATAGGTGGACCTTCTGTCTTCTATTCTTTGGGATTTTAGGTAATTTCAAGTTCACCTTGGACTACTTTGGGTGGACTACTTTTCGATAGCTACTTTAGGTTAGAGATGACTAATTTCTTTTCTAATGGAGAGTTTAAACATCCCTTCCGCTCAGTACATTTATCCACCTATCCTGTGACCTGCCCAAAGCTGAAGTAATTAAGAGATAAATGAGATGGAAGAAAGAGTTGAAAATAGACTATCTGGAGATTGGTGAAGATTAGATTAATCCAGCAGCAACTGAAAGTATGTAAGCAATTTAATAAGGAGATTTATAAATCTCATTTTATATTAACAGTGACAGTTTGAAAGATAGATTTGTTCAACAAAGGAGTGGCTGACCCAATTAGGATTAACAGAGGCTGTTAACTAAAATAAGAAAGAGTGTACATAAATTAGATGAGACATAAGAATTATGGCCAGTGTTTTAGAGTTAACAGAAATGGTCTCAACTGCCCTAGTAACATTCTTAGCTGAATGACTGTAAAATGTGATTCAGCTGGGCTCTTGTGATCCCCAGGAGAGAGGGCTGGTGGCGCAAATGTATCTGGGACATCTGCATTGTAATTCCATGTAGTGTAACACCGAGAAACCTCAGGGCCCTGAAAGGTTACTGAAATGTATTGTTTTGGACACTGCCAGAACTGGCTTTGTTTTGGAGAAGATGCTACAATCTGGTTCTTTGACTCCCTAAAAATTAGTGGAGAAGATCATGAGTTTGTAGGGGGAAATGATTGGGTGATATTAATCAAGATTGTAGAGTTTCGTCTTCTATATAAAAATAATCTCAATTTCTGTCCATAAGAACCAGAACGATGGGAGATATTTGTGTCTGGAGAGATCTAGGCTCTTTTATGCAATAGGACTGAAATATTTGTTTAGGGCTTTTCGTTCCCAATTGGACTAATTTTAGCTCTTGAACACATCTCAGATTTCTAATGAGAGAGCATAGCTGCTAATTTCAAGGCTTCTCATTAGACCAGTGTCTTTTGTGCAGTGAGAAAACACCCCCATTGGCTCATCTATTGTTATTCAATCAGTATTGTGTGCACTTGAAGAAGTGTTTGTTTGCCTACTTGGCTCCTTGAAACCTGGATATGTGCAGATTGAATATGAGACTTTCTTCTTATGTTTAAAAAAAAAAAAAGACTAAGTGAGGAGAACTTAGAAAAAAACAACTGGGATGTAAGATTTTTGTTGTTTTATTAAAAATCTAAGAAATAATAGAAGCAATGTGTAGAGTAGTACTAAAAATCCTAATGGTGAAATCTATACATTTTACTGAGATTCCCTGACCGATTTATAAAATCCATACTTTGGGGGAAGTGGGTTTTGGCATCAGATAGCATCAACTAAAATCCATCACAATTCAACAGAGGCATTGGAGGTCTGGTTTAGGTGTGCTGCCTGATGAGGTAGCCTCTCAAAGCTATTCTGGTTTTGTAACTTGGTTATTGGGTTATGGGGTTCAGTCATGGGCTAGCCCACTGTGTGTTTTTGAGTAGTTACTATTGGGCTCCCTTGGTAATAGAATGCTGAGTTCCATTTGTCAACTCAGACACTCTCCAGAGTTTTCAGTGGATTGTTCTTGACTTACTAGAATGAATTATGGATCCTGGCTGTCTGCCTCCATTTAGGTTTGTACAAGTCAGAAACTCTGCAGCTCTCTGAGGAAGAAAGTGAATGAAATCGAGACCCATATACCAGCCTTGCTTGAAGCCAAAATGCTTGCTGTTTCAGGTAAAATGACTGGGACATTAAAAGTAAAGGGAAGCTGAAAAGAAACGTTTAAGGGGACTCATTTGAAAGTATTTGTTGATAAGACTTTGAGCTTGTACTTTAGGCTTTTTCAACAACTTGGTTTTATTTTCGGTTTTGAGTGGGATTTGCTTATATGCTGCTATTGACTTGAAGATTTCAAAGCACTTTCAATGGAATCTTATGTTTACATAGCCTCACCCCATTAAAGAGATGTAGAAATAGCACATATCCTTTACTAAGGCATAACTATTTATTGGATGTGAGTGTGCATACACAAAGTTGTTATTAGCTTTATTTATTTATTTGCTTATTCATTCCTTCATTTGCTCACTCACTCCTTCACTCTTTTGTTTGTTTATTGTCTGCAACTGAAGCTTCTTAAAGATGCAGGAACTGTATTTCTGCATGTATTGTGCATCATCCTTGCATCTCTTAGCTTGGCGTCATGTACCTAGTGGTTTCTTAATTAATGTGATCTGATGATATCATTCCTGTTTTACAGATGGAGAAGGGAAGGCATCATAAATTAAAGAGATATATCTATTGAGAAGGCCATTCATGGAGATGGGAGTAGCTCTTATAAGTGTGTACTTCCATTCTGAATATTCAAAGACTACACATCCTCCTCATTTGATAATTACTAGTCAGTATATTTCAAAATGTCCACAAACCAGGCACTCTGAAAACAACATGCTACTTTCCATTTGCATAATGCTTCACAATGTGCTTTCACAAGCAGTATTTTATTTGATCCTTACAAAAACTCTGTGAAGTAGGTAGCTGTCAGTTGAGCTTTGTCTTTGTTCAGGATCAATCACGGGAGCATATTGTGCCATTTCAGTCATTTCTGACTCTGTGAGCCCATCTGGGGTTTTCTTGGCAGAGACGCTGGAGTGATTTGCCATTTTCTTCTCCAGTTTGTTTTACAGATGAGGAACTGAAGCAAACAGGGTTAAGTGACTTACCCAGGGTCACGCAACTAATAAGTGTCAGAGGCCAGATTTGAACTCAGTAACATGAGTCCTCCTGATTTCAGACTCAGTGCTCTATTCTATGTACCATCTAGCTAGCCTATTATATTTGGCAGATAAAGAAACTGAGTCACAGATAGATTAAGTCACTTGCCTGAGGTCAACTAAATTAGTGGCATGTGCATGATTAGAACTCAGGTCTTGTGACTTAGCCCCCTGTTAACCCTAATGGCTCAGGATTCTCAACCTAAGATCTGTGAATGTGTTAAAAAAAATTTTTATAATTGATTTCCTTTGTAATACTACATACTTTATGCATTTAAAATATTATTCTGAGAAGGGATCCATGACACACAAAAAAAGATGAATAACCTTTGCACTAAGATCAGGGAAGCCATTCCAACAGAAACCCTTGGTATAGTGAATAGAGTGGTAGACTTAGAGCCAGGAAGACCTGAGTGCAAATTCTGCCTTAGATGTTTACTTGCCATATCACTCTAGACAAGTCACTCAATCTTTCTGGCCTCAGTTCTGATGTAAAGGCTTCTAAGGTCCCTTTTAGCCCTAAATCTATGATCTTCTGATATTTACTAATGTCCAGCTTCATGAAAGATCATACGGGATCATGGGAAAGTAATTTCGTTCTATAATGAAGACATTGAATATTTACTGAGTTTTATAGGTTAGACGAACCCACAAACCCATCAACTTCAGAAGAACCATAAAAATTTAACAAAAAGGTATGATAATTACATGTATGGGTTTTAAATGACATTTGAAAATGGAATACAGTAATTGTCAGCTTCTGCTCTTTAGATCATTAAACAACTAATGTTGGCAGCTAAAGAGCAATTTGGTCCTTGGCGCAGTCATGCGTGTTATTTACAACCAGAGAAACAGTGAAATGTGAATGTGGGGCCGGCTTGTAACAGCTTTCCATGTCATTTACTTGAAATTACTGCCCCATTTACAAGGAGGGGGAACAAGAGTGAACACAATTTTGATTCTGAGTTGGACTACTTGTCTTTGTCAATCAGTCAGTTTACTCCAGGAATGCAGCCTAGGTGGATGCCTCTCCGTTAACAGAGGGAAGCAGTGTACCTTGTTCGGATGGGAAGAGTATCTTTTTCAAATGTCCAAGAAATGGATATGGTGTATGTCTAGCGTTGTACACGAAGGCACATGGGTTGAGAATGTCATGGTTTTTCAAAATCCTGTTGATCAGCTGGGAAATCTGGTAACTCAGATCTGTATTCAAGTTTAAGTAGGTGGTGCAGTGGATAGAGTGTAGGGCCTGAAGGAAGAAAGACCCATCTTCTTGAGTTCAAATCTGGTCTCCGACACTCACTAGCTGCGTTACCCTGGGCAAGTCGCTTAACCCTGTTTGCCTCAGTTTCCTCATATGTAAAATCAGCTGGAGAAAGAAGTGGCAAAACCACTTCAGGATTTTTGCCAAGAAAACCCCAAATGGGGTCACGAAGAGTTGGACATGACTGAAACAACTGAACAATAATGACCATTCAATAATAGTAACCACAACAACATTAGCATTCATATATACTTTAAGGTATGCAAAGTGCTTTATAAATATTATCTCTTTTTATCCTTACAACAGCCCTGGGAAATAGATTTCCAATAGAAACCATGCTATTTGGATGATAGGTTCTAGAGTACTATCAACACTATGCTTCAGCTACATCATAGGGTGAATTAGCTTTTGTAGGCTGGAAAATAATGATCCTTTCTGACATTGTTTCTCTGGGAAAATGTGTTCTGTGTTTAAGGCAACTGACTTAGAAAAACTTCCTTTTGAATAAACCCGTTTGTAAGTTAGGACCACTCTAACAAAGCCAGAGCTCCGTTGTCCGACTGTATTTACATCTGTCTTAGAGAAGAACGCAGGGCCATATTCAGGGCTTTTTCCCTGAGTGCCTGTGGCTGTGGAGGGGAAGGAAAAGTAGAGGTTCAGTGTTCGAGGAGCTACCTTCTTTGGCTTGGATATGGAACACCCAAGAAAGGAGAATTCTCTCTGGTCCCCATGGGCTGTGTAGCTGCCATTCTTTCTGCAGTTATAACAAGGACTAAGTGCTCTTGGGATGAATATAGTGGAAGAAATCACTGAAAGGACAAAAGGTTCTATTTTCATTCTCATTCTTGATCTCAGCATGAATGAATTTGATGTTGTGCTTTATGTTTCCAATGGGTTGGTTTTAGATGGTCTTTTTATAATGGAGCTGTGGGCAAAACTCCAGTGCTTCTCAAGGAAAGGGAGGAAAGAAGCCTGGGTTTTAGTACTGACTCTGCCAGTAACTGAATCTCTAACCTTGGGTATATCAGTTTATTCCTCTGGGCCTCAGTTTCCTCATCAATAAAATGAGAGGGGTTGGAGGGGCAGCTAGGTGGTGCAGTGGATAGAGCATCAACCTTGAAGTCAGGAGGACCTGAGTTCAAATCTGGCCTCAGACCAAGCACTTGACACTTACTAGCTGTGTGACCCTGGGCAAGTCACTTAACCCCAATTGCCTAAAAAAAAATGAGAGGGGTTGGGCTAAACCATTTACAAAGTCTCTTCTAACTCTATGATTCTATGATGTAGCATTAACTAATAGACAGCATTACATAGCAATTCTAGTTCAGACAAGGACTATTTTTGTAGAGCTTCTGTTAACTATGTGAGACACATAGTCCCTCACCAAGAGGTGAGTATTGACCTTGAAAAGTCACCAATATTCCTTACCTAGGTACATTTGAAAAATTATGAAAGCTATGCAGTGTTGGAGCTACCAACTCACAGATATGAGAGCACTTCAGCATGATTTTGGAAAACCAAGCCAGGAGAAGATTCTGGAGCCGGTGTGGCAGGTTCTACAGGCCCAAGATAGTGGCAAATGTCTCTAAGAAGTGTGAAATTTGTGCTCACTGTCTTCAAAGAAAAGAGAGGCAGTCTGGTACAGTGGAGAAGTGATGGATTTGGAAACAGAATACTTGGGTTTGAACCTTGACTCTGTTTGTTATAGTAGTGTGACTTTGGGAAAACCACTTCATCTCACTAGATTGTGTCTGCCTTTCTTTGTATCCTCAGGGCTTAGCACGTTGCCTAGCATGCAGTGAATACTTAATACATGCTTATTCAATGACTGATTGATCTTTCTGGCTCTCAGGTAATAGTTTAAGAGAGTGCATTGAACATTTATCCATGCTAGTGTAGCCTTTCGCCAGAACACTTAAACAGAAAGAACCAAAGGGGTTTTATAATCTTTATGGAATTAGCCTGGAGTTGAAACAACAGGTTTGCTTTCTACTTTTCTGGTCTAATGTTTAAGAAGACCATGCCCAGGTGGGACTGAGTATATGCGCATTGGGGATTGAGAAGTACTGAGTCTGAATATAATCTCCTCCCTACCTCTTCTCCGTAGTGCTTGGGGTCCTTTGACCCCCAGAGTATGCTGTGACTGTGGACTAATATTAGACCTTAAGCCAGAACTTTCTTTGAAGTACCCAGACTTTGGTGATGCTTTGAGCATTGTTTAGGTAGAGAAGTTCTCCTCATATAGGTCACACACAGTTGTGTAATCAATCTGGTCTTGAAAGCAGTAATTCTAGCCAGTTGAATGTAATTTTTGATCAAACCATAGAGTGCTGATTATTCATTCATTCTTGCAAAACATGCTCTTTTACATTAACTATGGTTTCCATCTAGCTTAAAAGATTGTGCCCTTTTTTCTCCAGGAAAATTCTTTCCATCATATCAGTGTTCATTAACCCTTAATTACTAACTCCATCCCACTTCCTAAGGTCAAGCAAGGTCCCAGGCTTGTCATGGAAAAGAAGATAAGAGATGACAGAAAGCAAAACTACTCAATTCCTATTTCAACTCTGTTTTTTCTACCTAGGAGAATGTTAGAATAAGAATGGGAGAGGGACTAAACTTATGATTTTATCAGTAAAGGAAACTCTTAGATGAGGAAAATACATCTACCAATGCAGGGTGACATCTTCTTTTCAACT